TTCCGTAGTCCGTGACGCGCGCCATCATCCCATCATGGAGTTGTCGAACCACACACACACGCACACGCACACACACACCAATCAGAGAACACTTGGACCTACTCCGCAATTTTACTTAAGCAACTGGCACCACCATCTCATTCGTTCTCAGGTCTGGTAGGACGCAGTCAACACTAGCCCTGGCTTTGCCAGTGGTCACTGCAGCCTAAGAATGCAACTGGGATTTCTGTATAAAATGAATCCCCCTCAAAGGTGATTTGCGACTTTTACCATCAACCTGGGGATTTGACATGAGGATTGTAGTGATTCAAGTACATCACTACTTAGGCCGCTGCACGTTCACGGATCAAGCTCGATTGTCGGTCAATTTCGTCTATCGTGCGGTCCGTTTAGGGGCACATGGATGGTGCCAGGGCCTATTATTTTTCCAAAGTTCACTTCACTTTCCGTAAAGAGGTCTGGTCTCAATCATCTACTGTCGTTCCCTTTTAACCTATTTCCTCTACAAACATAACAACTGCGTGTATTGCTAGCGAGTCAGTACTCGTAAGTGTACTTCATGCACTACCAACAAAAAGATTGATTAAAATCTGTCTTCATTTTTATTGACTGCATCTGTGACCACGAATAGGATTGCCTTAAATGTATCTATTCAGTGGCGACAGCATTCAAAGAACGTGATCGAAAAATGTAGTAGAAGCAGGAGAAGGAAACGCTCAAATCTCACCAATTTTCCTGCGGAACAAAGAGTTCCACAAACAATGATGGCGTTCTGCCTTTGAGTCCCACCAGCAGCAAGGGGAACTTCTAGGCTGTAGACGGCGGTACTGCAACGTGGGAAGACAGAGGTGCACATGGAGTCTTGCGACGGGATGGCACGTTGAATTTGTCCACTTGCTCCGTCTCGTTTCCCTGCTCGTACCACAGCCGTCCACCAATAATGTACACGTCTTCTGAATCAGACAGAGAGAGAGGGGGAACACTGAATGGCATCTGGCAATATATCATTATTTTCTCAGGAGACACAAAAGAAAGCTACACAAACAGAGATATCAGGGCGTTGCTAACAGCAGACCCGCTAATTTAGCAGGAATGTAAACAAGCCTTACTGCCTATTCCAACGTAGGACGCAAATAGACGTTCATGCATGGGTCCCAGATCCTCATCATTGTCGGTATCGGGATCCCAGCGTTCAATTCGGTAGTCTACAGATGCATTTGAATAACCGAAAAGAATGATGCTGTTGTGTCCAGAGAGGACCATTGTCAACGTCCTGCTAGCCTGCCTACGAATTGTGAATTGCTTAACTTGTAACATGCACAACTGTTTCATCAATCTCTAATCAGCCAACCAACGTAAAGAGGGTATATTCTAACACGCGATTGGGTCAAGTCACCACGCGATAACCAATCAGGTACAATTTCAAGATGCACACGTCATGCAAAAAGCGGCGCATACATTCGCGGTCGGTTAGACTAACAAAGAGTCCTAAGAATGCCTTACGAACCCAATCGATAGGGGATGTTTGGCGAAACATCATAGAAAATATTATACGATGCTTTTAACCCGAAATACTGAATATTTTCCTTTTGACACAGAGCAATGCGCAGGTGCATGAGTTAAAGCGTACATTTAAGTCTGTGAATAAACCCTTTTCCACACGAAGTTACGAAAAACATTCCGCATGGAGTGCCGGTAGTGTCCATAGCTGGGTATTTTTTGGCAGCATCGTCCAGTAACAGAGAATAGGCAAAAACCGTTGCAACTTCAAGACGCAATTATTGGCACTTTGAAGGTTCTTAAAAGTCACTAGTTAGGGTAAATCCGGAAAGATATTAGCAAGCTTTTGCTAAAAGCAAGAACGTATACGCACTTGCAGCAAGCCATATCTCTAGGCGAGTGATGGCCAATGAATTGGCTAGGCTTCGGCCGAGATCGTGTGTGTCCAATATGTTACAAAGCGGTGTAGTGTCCAAGCAGTCAGCAGACAATCTCAACAAGAGTTCCTTTAGGAA